CTACCCTCACACCCACTACCCTCACATCCACACTACCCTCACACCCACACTACCCTCACATCCACACTACCCTCACATCCACACCACCTTCACACTTCATATTTCTTGACCAATCTTTACCAAACAAATGTGAGTTCTCAAATATGTATAAAATAAACATACATATAATATAAATGCATTTTGGAAAAACTAACACTTAACCCTTTCTTATTTTTTATTTTGAAATGATAGAGAATCTTTTCCCGATCATAATGACACCAAAAGTATGAAATTTGATGGAAAACTTACGGAATTATGCTCTCGTGAAGTTAGCAGTCTCCATGATGCTTACGCACTTGCGATTTCGTCCACTTTGAGCCCTATTTTTGGCAAATTCCAATGTACCAGTCGACAAAAATTATAACTATTTCGCTAGAACTCCATTTTCTCTATCGAATGAGTACAAGAAACCACATATTTACCGATTTCAACTATCCAGTACAGTGGTCAGAAATTGGCAATTTAGCAAATTTTGCACAAATTTCAAAAGTGCCAATTTCCAAATAGGGGCCAGAATAAACAAGACAGACATTCCTGGCACTAAAATAACATTTTTTCTGTTCATTACTCACGTCCCCAGGCCTCTCTTACATTTCTTTTGCTTTCCACTTTGAATTTTTATTCTCACAAAAAAAATAGAAGATTTACTGTTATGCAGACTACTGCATTAGTGTAGAAATGGTATAAATAATATCAGTGTACTTGTGAAAGAATATTAGACTCGCCAGTTGATGTGTATTGGACGCGTGGCATGATTTGTTTACTTTTGAACTTTGTCAAAAATCAAACATTTCTGCTACTTTGAGCTCAATTTCAAGGTACTTTTCATTGTGAAACGAATCAGTCATATCAATTTCTGTAATATCTCTTCCATTCTATAAAATGAGACCAGGAAAACTAGAATACAATCATAAATAGCATATGAAAATACACTCCAAAATCACTGTTTTAAAGTAAAAACATGGTCAGAGTTTTTTTTTTTCTCATTATGCACCGTGTGCTGCAGGATTTTTTTATACTGTGCACACTGACCACATAGACCCATTCTTTCATATGTAGGCCCCCAGCTTTCTCTCACTAGATTTGAAGGCGCTAGAATTTATGCATTCTAGTACAGCACCAACCCTGGCATGCAAGCCGTACTAGTATGGCACCAACTCTGAAAGGGTTAACAAAAGTGTAAAAATATAGCAGCACCATCATAGGAATTGCAGAAAACTTGCTCATTAGTAATTAATTGATTCTAAATTGCCAATGTCATAAGTGCAAAACATTGCAACTGGAAACCTTGTTAGTCAGGTCCCTGTTGTTCTAATCTTGCATACAATGTAAGAAATTAGTGGATAAATTCTAGTTTTAATGAGTTTGATGTTAAGGGAAGCAATGGATTCTGAGTAAAGGCAGTAAATATATAATTAACAGTGAGAAATTAAAGTGGTATCTCCTTGTTAAGGAAATGCTAAAATTTCATGGTAATAAAAATAAATAAGTAAACATTAGGAATAGCACTGATTATTGCATCAGAGTTTAATAATAAAATAGTGACAGGGAGAAAGAAAAATCATTTAGCTAGCAGGGAAGTACACACATCATTATGCTACATGAAGCTTTGAGCTAAAGCTCAACTCATTCTGTCATAGTTAAAACAGAATCATTGAGGCTGTTTTTGTATAGCCATAGTTTGTTTAACCTTTTACAAAACATTGGTACATTTTATCTCCATTGTTCAGACAGATTTCTTGGGTTTAGCACTTGGTTTTTTTTTAACACATTGACTGATTTCCACCAAGGCAGGGTGGCCCGAAAATGACAGTCTTCTGAGCCCTAATAAAAAAATTTCTTGCTCTTTTGTGAGGCACTCATTTACAAAGATATTTTTTTCAGAATGAAGTATTTCTTTTTTGAGAAGTTATGAAATCTCATCAAATTTGATATCTAAGTATCAGAATACTTCTTTGATAACACTAGGCGTAATAATGAGTAATTATTCTGCTCAACTTTAAAGAGGGGGGAATTTTAGGTCATAACCTTGTGTGATAGTTTGTATGAACATTGGGTTCCTTATGGCAACAGCATCAACTAGCCAAAATGGTTTAATTTGACAAAGTTGTTTATTAAGTAAATCGGATAACAAGCATTGAGTTTTCCAGTCTGTGGAATTTTTATCTTCTTTTTCACTGAATAGAGTTTATTTGGCTTTTCATGATTTTAACTTGTTCACTGTAATTTTTAATGGTGGATTGCTCTTCAAGTTAGATATACTGTAACTGTTTTTTCAAGTTCAGTTAACATGTTCACTAGACCATCAGACTGTTCAGCTTGGGACTACAGCACACCAAAGCTTCTTGTAGGGTTTCATAAAAACAAGCACCTCTGGAATTTTAAAAAAAAATTAAATATCTGACAGATCTGTGCATTAGGTGATTTTTGTTAAAGCTGTTGCATATAAGCTTTTATAAGA